AAGAGTGTTGACTGTGGAGCTGAGCAAACTGAAGCTGTGAACACTCTCAATCTCTTCGTCATCCATCCTGACGCTGCTAATTGGTCCAGTGGTGAGAATCTTTGTCTTCTTGACATTTTTATTTGTGTTTTAAATAGTGTATATTATATTACTTTCCAAAACTTAATTTTTTCTACTTATTATGTTAAAAAATATAATTTAAAAAACCTTGGCCTTAAAATAATTATTCTATAATTTCATAGCTTCTTATAGTTACTGGATTGTTTTACGTAGAAAATCACCTCTTCTGTTAGTAGTGACATATTTCTCTCTAATTTTTCAAGGATGCTTTTAAGTGAACTTTATTTTCTGTGCTGAAACAAACCTTCATTAAATGTTTCTTAGAATAGGTGATGTTGATGTTGTTTTTGTGTATAATCGAGTTGGAACCAACCCAGATCTGACCCTCTGGTAGGTTTTCAAAGTCAGTAAAATTGCAAGGGAGGATATTGCCCATCCCTCTCCCATGGAGCAGGTGGTGGTGGGTGTGAACTGCATACCTCTGTAATAACAGTGCAATTCTTTACCACTAAGCCACCAAAGTTCCCTTTGAATAGATAATGGTGATTATCTTTTTTCCTCCTTTCTGATCTTAAGGAGCATATTTCTAACATTTCCCATTAAGATTGATGTTTAACTCTTCATAAACTCAAAAGCACTGAGAAGACAATGAGATGATAATCTTCAATATGCTTAGAAGAATTTAGCTGGAGATTAACTAAAAATACATACACACATATATGAGTTGTTATTGTTCTGTACCATTGAGTTGGAACAGACCCATAGCTGACCTCTAGTGGGTTTTCAGAGGTAAACCATGGGAGGAGATTGCCAACCCTTCTCCAATGGAGCAGCTGGTGGATTCAAACTACATGCTTTTGAGATTGCAGTGCAGCTTCTTGTCCCTAGGCCGTCAGAACTAATATATATGTTGCATAATATTCTTTGCTTTCTCCACTCTCCAACTTCCTTCCCTAATAAGCCCCATTGTCGATACTGAACTGTGAGTCAGCAAAGAATAAATGAACCTCTTGTTGTTAGTATGGCTCTAGAGGCACCATGGGGCTGGGCTACAGTTTCTTTATCTGCTTTCTACTCCAGGGCAGTGAGGAGCTGTGCTGTTCTTCCAGACCCCTCTTGCCCATTTAAAGAGACGTGTTCATGACCTTGTAGCCCTATATCCTGTTTTCTTCTCTTTAGACAGATAGGATATATAAAGTGAAATATTGTGCTTCTATTCTATGAGAGGAAAAGAAAACATTGACTTAAGTTAAACATGTTGTAAAGAACACACTAAATTATGTAATGTGTATGCATCAATTTAACAGAAGTAAGAATAATCCAAAATATAAAAGGAGAAGTAAAAAAGAAAGAGGAAAAACACAGCCAAAGTAGGACAATATTAGCTTATAGAAATTAATTCAAATATACAAATTAGATTCTTAAAAGGCGCATAGGGTGAAACCAAGTTGCTCCTTGGAGGCAAGGATTTTGAAGTTTTGTCTCACATACTTTGGGCAAATTGCCAGGAGTGACCTGTCCTTGGAGAAAGACATGATGCTTGGAAAGGTGGAGGGACAGCGCAGGAGAGGAAGGCCCCAGATGAAATGGATTGATACATTAAACAAGGTAGTGGGGCTATGTGTTTTAAAGTCAGTGAGATTGGCTCAGGATAAGGCAGGGTTAAGAGCTAGAGTTGTTATGAGTCACAGGCTACTTGATGGCACATAACAATAACAATTAAATAATTGAGAATTATAAAAAATTTAAAAAATGCAGAAGATTTCATACATCCCTGCACTCACAAACTGAAGAATAGACATTCTTGTCACATAAATCTAGAATATTTGTGAAATATCAAATATTAAAAAATAAAGCAGATCTCAGCAAATTTCACAAGATCACTATTGTATAGAGCTTATTATCTTAAAATCCCAACTACAGACTGGGAAAAAATATTTGGTAATGACATGTCAGATAAGGGGACTTATATCTAGAATTTATAAAATACTTGAGCACCACAACAAGATAAAGGTAAATAATCCAATAGAAAAATGAGCACAGGATATGAACAGACACTTCACCAAAGAAGACATTCACATGGCCAACAAGCACATGAAGAAATGTTCAAAACCCCTAACTCTAAAAGAGATGCAAATCAATACAACTATGAGATATCATCTCACCCCA